ACGTGGAGTGTTGGTAGGTAATTATTTTCGTTCTGCATACAGTTTTTATTAAAAATGTTTTATACCTACACGTTGATGGCGGTATTAATTACAATGACACGATTTAAGGTTCGATCATTAATTTAAAACGAATAAATTCAATTATTTCATCAAAGACTGTGTTATTACCTGGCGATCTCTGACATATATTTTATATTTATATATGTAAAAGAAAACGATGTCTGCGGTAGGTGTATAGTATGTAGAAGGTTGYMACTGACTAAAAAGTGCCGTTGTTGTGCGTTCCCATCGACGTCATGCCGATGAAAAGTTTTGAAATTTGACTCGAAGCACGGGTCGGAATTCACGAGGTATGACGATAAGACACGTAACTGCAGTTATACGGTCAGGTGACGGCGGCAGCAGTGGCGGCGAATGTAAGTTTTCACCACGGGAGCATATAATAATAATATATTATAAAGTAGACCAACGTGCGGTCTAACGCGTAAGTAGGTATATATATCTGAGTACGGGTCTACGGCGGTGTGTGTATAAATAATATTATGTACCCGTGTGTTATGATAATATCGGAAGTAACGCGGTAGGTTTACAGGTGCAGTCGTTTTAAAGGGCTACCCCGACGGAGACGTGTGATGACGAAGAGGGGTGGGTAGTGTCGGACTTTGGTGCGAGCTCGCGTCCCGCGAAAAAGAGGTAAAATATTATAATAATTATAACGTGCACGGACTGCAGCGGACTAACACGACGACGACATTAATGGCACCCAACCGATCACGGGCGAGGCGATGAGTGTGTAATAACCGCCGCGTAGACCAGCCACTGCGAAAACCCTCGTCGACGGCTAAACCCGCGCTCGCGATTTCGTCATAATAATATTGTGTTATACGACTGCTGTATTATTACAGTATCGCAGTATAGTATAATAACGAAATAGACGACCCCTCTTGTTCCCCCTATCCACATATAGGCACCGCCACCCGTGATAGGTCGCCGTGTCTGTCTAGGCGCATTATTGGATTATTATTATCATTATTACTATACGTGTATAATAAATGTATACACACACACGTGTGTGTGTGTGTGTGTGTGTGTGTGTGTGTGTGCGTGAACCAAATACACCGAGGAATGTGTGGGCCTCACGCGGTTATAAATGTTTGCATAAACATTTTTTTGTCAAAAAAAAATAACAATAATAATAATAATAATAATATGATGATGATGATGATATATGGTGTCGTCGCGTTCCGGACAATCGGTGAAATACGAACGACACACGACAGAGACAACGCTACTGCTGCGGTGCCGCGACTGGTGCTCACCTAAAGCGCGCGATATTTTTTGACCGTGTAAATAAAGGTACCGCGATGTATCTACCTGTATAATTTATATTTATATTATATATATTCGTGCATGTGTGTGTATGGTTACGAATTACACAAATATTCAGCATGTTAATAATATAGATATATATACTATCATAGAATTAACGGCGCCGTTATGGCGGGTTGAGATTACAATATGCAATTACTGAAGGCTGGAGAAATTAAAATTTAATTAATCTGACATTTTGATATCATAAAATAATTTTTTTYCCCCATTATTAAGCATCTATTTATTAGATACATTTTTTTTGTTAAAGTTATTTTATATTGACAGTTGTATAAAGAATATACGAATATACCAATTACAATAAATAAACCAAATCACATTATTAAAAACAAATGATATAACTATAAGTATATTGTTATAAGGTACTTATAGTAAGTACTAAGTAATACATAGCACCTATKTAAATTATATTGAAAAACATAATACCAATATTCAAATTGAATTAGATAAATTAGATTGTTTGCGTAATTTTTACAGATTTGTGAGAAACATGACTATTTAATATTATGTCTTTTCATAATATTAATATATTTCAATAAAAWCCTGTACATTTAATCTCTAAAAATGAGTACTTAATCACGAATTAGATATATCATTCATAAGGCCTTTGAGTAAAATGCACGTATGGCCTTAAAATCTTTAACCAGCCTAAGATTATTATGAATCTCGTATCATTATCACATTATATATAATATTATATATAATTTACACATTTTAATAAATTAATTTCATTTTTTTCCAACCTGTGCATAATTTATAGTGATTTTTATTGTCTCTGGACTATAGTAGGTTAGTAGGTATACCACCTCGTGAAAACACGTTTACCTAGTATTTATCTACTTGGTATAAAATTAAATATAAAAAGAAAATTATTATTGTTATAAATATTTATGCCATCCCAACAAATAATAATATTTTTAGTGTTTTTATATATTATCTTATAAAATGAACAAAATTATAATAAAGTAATTTAAATTATACGATGTAATAATTCTTATGTTTGCTTAAGCCCTTGGGACATTAGACTTTTAAAAACTCACAGAGACTGTTGGATACACGAAAATGAACCTAAACTTACCGCCATGTTTAAGTATAAATGCTCTTCACGTTTATTAGTGAGGGATTTTTTATAAGATGACTTGTGAAGTGTTGGAAATGTTTATAATTGAAAATAAATCTTGTTATAATACAATCGTTTTATTATTATGTTCATCTAAAACGTTAATGTTGTGTCATATTATATTGTATATTATAATATAACGAGTTCGGCGTATGACATTATATATATATACAACATGTTATTTAATTATAAAGTCAACAGYATAATATTATGTATCAGCAAGCTGGCAGTAATAATATAAGAGCAAAATACACTTTTTGATTCTGTTTTTACATCAGGTATATAGATATATACAATATTATGTACAGTTAACTTCTTCAATGCGAAATAACACATAACTAAGAAACAATATGCATTTTTGTAAAGCCGACTCCAATTAAAATACGTAGTATAGTATACTTATTATGTATACGTTTCCCTCAATCAAAATAAAGAATTTGTTTTTTCTTTTGCCTGCATAGAATAAGCAGAAATACGATCGAGGTATATTCTACAACATAAACTTTGAACTTTCTATAAATAAGTCCAAAAATATAATTTTCTGTGAACAAGAATAATAATTATTCTGTTTAATAATACGAACACCGAGAAAATACTTTTCAGGAAAATTCTCGCATAGTTATTTCTGTTTCCATTATTTACTTATTTTGACACTTTTTGAAAGTAACATTAATTCTTTAGACATTTCGTGGATGTTAGTGGAAAATTGCAAGTTTTGTTTTGACATGATTAAAATATTTCTTTGGGAATCAAATGTAGAATAGATTTTTAATTGCAGATGTTGACGATATTAATTATTTTAAAAGATTACCTTTTATTATTGTATATTTTATTATTTATTATTAGGACTCAGATTTTGTAGCAAAATAAATCCTTAAAAACGCATTTATTAATTTAATTCTAAAAAAGCAAATTTCAACTACACATAAAATTAAATATTAAAAAAGGAATTTACAATCATATATTTAGACAAGTTACTTTCATTAAAACTCGTTCTATTGGGTGCTAATATATTTTTATACATAGAAAAAGACTACTACTAATATTGTAGATAAAACTATTTCGGCACAATAACGACAGTTATTTTATTAGTCATATATTTATTACTGGTTTTTTCACTAGTTTATAATTTATGGTAATAATAATGTAATCCAAGACGTATAATATACATAGAAATAAGCTAAGTTTTCAAGAAAAATATGTAAAAATCAAGAAAAAATTACCAAATAGGGGGAAAAGCAATAAAAATCAGATTTTGTGGAAAAAAGCAAAAAAGCAAAAAAAAGTTTACTTCATTAAAATCAGAACGATTCAAAACGTATTTATATACAAGAATTATCTTTCTATCACACTCCCCTCAAAAGAAGCATTTGCTACAAAATCCGAGCCCTATTTATTATATTTTATTATATTTTTATATATAATATATTTCTAGCATGTTACAAAATAATATTGCAATAATTAATAACTTTTATTTGTTCTATGCAATTCATAAGTGTTGAATGGGGAGTTAGCCCGCCCTCCTGTACATTTTTAGTTGCCATTTTTTGGATGTATAGTATATTGATACCCGAAACATTGTAGGTTAAAGTGTCCCCCCATAACGTTATTAAATTTAATAATCTACCTAAAATGTATAGGTACCTATTACCTACCTATTATTAAGCATGTTTTATCACACAATGAAAATGATTAATATTTATAAAGAACATAGTTATATAATAATTGCATTATACTACATAATATTAATTTACCTAATAATTGAATATTATACTATTACACCGCCCCGGGCTGTGTCCTACGTGAATGCAGCGAGTGCGATGAGTTCTATTGTGAATTGTGATTATCTATTATTTATAAACTGATAACCATGCTGTTCCGTCGTAATACGATACGACAAAATACAAACTGTTTTGTTTTTGWCGCTTTTGTCAGATTCATGTTTGAGTGGTTCACGTTATAGTTTTTAATAGTTAATTAGGTTCACCATATTGATTATACTTAACGTTTACTGGTATGTTTAATAACCTCTCTTATAAAAATATAACAAAAAAGGAATCTWAAAGTTACCTACTATTATCTTTATCATGCAATTTGTTTTTATGTTCAACGTACTTAATTTAATTAAAATAAGTTTCACTGTTAAATTTTCAAAAGGTATCATTATTATAACTGTGAGTTGTGATCAACAGTAATTTGGTTACTCTTTTAATTGTTGTATTATTATATAGCTGTAATACATATAGGGAGTAAATATATAAATTGAAATGAGTTAACCATTCTTACTTTAATCGTTTAATCGGGATTTGAATCAAGTAAACAAAAGTAAATTTAATAATATTTTTTTCTCTGTATTAATTATTCATTGAAACGACCTTAAGATCTTTGTCAATGCGTATCACAAGTGGGTAATAGCGAGATCATGACGTGATCTATTGATTTATGTATATATCATTTTATACATGATACTAGCTCCTTCTCCAAGAGGAGACATGTGCAACCTTCACTCCCAGTGGAAGACTTAAATAAATATAGCACATTTTGACATTTTGTTATGTGACCATATTAATACTTATGTTAAACATTTATAAAACTTCAACGGCTTTACTATCCATTTAACAGGGCCGTATTTAGGAATTTGACACCAAGGGGCAACAAAAAAATACGCCTCATTAATCATTATACAAAATACAAATTTAAATTATAAAAAAATTAGCCCCCCCTCTCCTACTCAGCCACCCGGGGCAACAGTACCCTGTAGCTCCCCCCTAAATACGGCTCTGCCATTTAATATTTTCTTTTGTTTAAAAATATTAAGTGCATATTACATACAATAAACAGGTAGGCCATATATGTATACTTATTACTTAATCTTAATACATAGTAATATGGGAATTGCGGTCGTCACAAATTACAAATTAAAAATCAAAAACAATTAAAAGTTTGTCTAATATTTTTCATGCTAACAATAAATGATGTATAGGTAGAATTAAATAAAAGTACGGATTAACATGAGAAGTAGATTATCGAACAGATTGATGTAAAATTATTCTATTTTTAATCGATATACATACCTAATATACGATTATAATTTATAAAACCATACTCAGCCATTATTGTTGACATGGTAAATGGATTTTTGTTATTATTATAATTTTCCCTTAATAGTCGTTGGCACACAATTCGAGTATTGTGCTTTCCTGTTTTTAATTCAATTCACTGTTATTTA